GCTTCGGTCGCTTGACTGACGCTTGGCGTACCCAGTTTCCTGACGCCGTTGAGCTCCCTCGCTGGCATGATCTGCTTCTGCAGAATGTGCCTATCTTTGATCTAGATTTTGGTGCTATCCTTGCTGCCATGTATGCTCTTGCTGATAGTGCTGAGGGTGACTGTTACCTGAGTGTTCCGCCCGACCCAGGCATTGCGGCTGCTGCTCTAGGTGCTAGTGCGTCTGCTGCTCCAGGTACTGGTGCGTCTGCTGCTCCAGGTGCTGGTGCGTCTGCTGCTCCACGTGCTGGTGAGTCTGCTCTCTCTGGTACTGCTCCTACTGAGTCCTTGCACACTTTCACACTTGACTCTGGTGCTTCGCGCTCTTTCTTTAGAGACAGCACCACGCTCACGCCGCTCAGTCGGCCTGTTGCGGTCTCCCTTGCTGACCCCTCAGGGGGCCCAGTCCTTGCACACTCCTCCACGGTTCTACCGTGTCCTGCGGCCCCGTCGGGCTTGCTGTCGGGACTCCACCTCCCCTCGTTCTCTACGAACTTGGTGAGTGGAGCTGACCTCCAGGATGCGTGGGTTGACCAGTTCACCCCTGGAGGTCAGCGTGTGACCCACTGCACTTGCTCTCGGACGGGCCGCCACCTGGCCATGTTCATCCGTCGGCCAGGGTCGAGTCTGTACACACTGACTACTGCGCCTCCTCCGGTCCCCGCGTCTGGTCAGGTAGCTGCGTCTAGTCAGGTGTTTGCTGCCGCGTCCAGGTCTAGTCCTGCGTCTGCCCCCTGCTCGTGTCGTCCTCTGTCACACGAGACTCTCCTTTGGCACCACCGCCTTGGTCAACCCTCCCTGCCTCGTCTTCGAGGTATGGCCTCCCGTGCCCTTGTCTCTGGTCTCCCCAGGTCCCTCCCTCCCCTTCCTCCGGGGCCTGCCCCCACCTGTGTTCCTTGTGTCGAGGGCCGGCAGCGCGCCGCTCCTCACTCCTCCTCGTTCCCTCCGACTGAGGCTCCTCTGCAGACTCTTCACATGGACGTGTGGGGCCCAGCCCGCATCCGTGGACAGGGTCATGAGCGTTACTTCCTGCTGGTCGTTGACGACTACTCGCGTTACACCACAGTCTTCCCCTTGCGCAGCAAGGGTGAGGTCCCTGAGGTGTTGATCGACTGGATCCGCGGTGCTCGTCGCCAGCTCAGTGAGATTTTCGGCTCAGACCTTCCTGTTCTGCGTCTGCACTTAGACAGAGGTGGGGAGTTTTCCTCCGACCTCCTGAGAGCCTTCTGTCGTTCGAAGGGCATCCGCCAGACGTTCGCGCTTCTGGCCTCCCCGCAGCAAAATGGGATTGCTGAGCGCCGCATTGGCATGGTCATGGACGTCGCTCGTACGTCCATGATCCATGCGGCTGCTCCCCATTTTCTGTGGCCGTTCGCGGTTCAGTACGCTGCGCATCAGATCAACCTTCAGCCTCGTGACTCCTTGCCGGTGTCCACACCTACTCTGCGGTGGACGGGGAAGGTTGGCGATGCGTCCGCGTTCTGTGTCTGGGGATCTCGAGCTTTTGTCCACGATACTACAGCGGACAAGCTGTCCTCCCGTGCCGTTCCCTGTGTCTTCCTTGGCTTCCCTCCTGACGCACCCGGGTGGCAGTTCTACCACCCCACCTCGCGTCGTGTTCTGTCCTCTCAGAACATCACGTTTGACGAGTCGGTGTCGTACTACCGTCTCTTTCCCTACCGCACTGCCTCTCTCCCCCCCCCCACCGCTCTTCCTAGCACCAGGTACTCCCCCGGTAGACCCCCTCCCCCCCCAGGGTCCTGCCCCCTCAGGTGTGTCCCAGGTAGACCCTGCTGAGCCGGTCGAGGTAGCTGTCGACTCAGGTGCTACTAGGGGTGCTGAGCCTGCGGGTGCGGGGACTGGGGGTGCGGGGACAGGGGGTGCTGAGCCTGAGAGTGTGGAGCCTGGGGGTGCTGAGTCTGGGGGTGCTGAGTCTGGGGGTGCTGAGACTTGGGGTGCTGAGCCTGGGAGTGTGGAGCCTGAGGGTACTGTGTCTGGAGGTGCTGAGCCTGCACGTGCTGCGTCTGGAGGTGCTCTAGGTGTCCCGTTGTTGCGGGAGCCTCTCTCTCCACAGCAGCTTCGTGAGTGCTACTCTCGGCGCTGTCGAGGTGCTGCTGGTGCTGCTGGAGCTGCTGGAGGTGCTGCTGGTGCTGCTGGAGGTGCTGCTGGTGCTGGAGGTGCTGCTGGTGCTGGAGCTGCTGGAGTTGCTGCTGGTGCTGGAGGTGCTGCTGGTGCTGGAGCTGCTGGAGGTGCTGCTGGTGCTGGAGCTGCTGGAGCTGCTGCTGGTGCTGGAGCTGCTGGAGCTGCTGCTGGTGCTGGAGCTGCTGGAGGTGCTGCTGGGACTGGAGACCCTGGGGCTGAGGGTACCGGTTCTGTCTCTGCTGTTTCTGGAGGCGCTGCGCTGCCGCGGCCGTACTACGTTCCGCTTCTTCAGCAGGTTCTTGGCTCCCCGCCTTCTCCTGGTCCTCCTCCTCCTTTCCTGAGTCCACCGCCTGTCCAGTCCCCGTCGCAGTTCCAGCCGGCCTCTCTACTGCCTGGTCCTTCTCCTTACTCTGGACCGACTAGAGGTCTTACGGAGCGTCGTGAGCCTGAGTCTCGTCCTGTGTCGCCTGAGTCTCGTTCTACGTCGCCTGTCTGACCTGTTCGCACTAGTCGTGTTTCGCGTCCGCGTCCTCCTCCTGTCCCTGGCACTCACTCTATGACTCTGCGTCCTTCCACTGCTCCGCAGCGTGTCCCTTTGCTGTCTCCTCCTGCGTCCTCTCTTCCTGCCGGTCCGGACCCTGCGTCTGACTTCCTACGTGCTGCTAGTCCAGCTGTCACGCGCTTTCCGTCTAGTGGCCTCGATTGGAATCGCCGTCAGCCAGTCCCCGGTGCCATACCCAGTCAGCGAGAACATCCGCTGCGTATGGCCCGAGAGAGGGTTTGGTTGCATATTCCTAGTTGCCTGGACCTGCGCAGCGTATCTGCTCCCGTGCACCTTCAAGCCGAGCCCGTGCTGGAGCCTAACGTCCGATCGCTCTAACCGCTCCTTCTCCAGGATCTCCCGCGCGTCGAGTGGCAGGGCTGCTTCGCACTCTGTGAGCCACGAATGTAGGGGGGTGCTGTCGTCCCGGGGCGCCACCATGTGGTTCTTGGCCAGCGTCAGCGCACTATCTGGTTCTAGCACGAGGGAGGAAAGAAAAAGGGCCGCTTGGGTGAAGCTCGCTGTGAAACCGTAGATCCCTTCTACGAGTGGGTCCGTTATGCCTATGCCGCCAAGTGACGTCGGCAATGACGCTTGTTCCCAGACACGCTTTTGCTCGGCGCCACACGTTGGCGCGCGGATGTCGCATGAGGTGAGTAAGGTTACGAGTAGGTCCCTTCCCCACTGGCTCCAGGTGGTGCGAGGGAGTAGGTGGAGGGGAGTCGTCCTAATGAGGTAAGCTACACGCCTGGAGATACATCGCGTGAGGAGTAGTGCTGCCACTTGGGGGTCAGCTCGCTCTATCAGCGGTAATGGCTTAGCCATCCCTTCCAGCTGGCCCGAAAGAAACCCGGCTGCTCCGGCGTCAGTCCCAACGTAGCTACCTAGGAGCCGTACTCCGTCCTTGGAAAACGGCACCCCGGGCGGAAGTTGAGTCTGTGTGACTGTGGTTGAACTCCACGCCGCGCATTTCTGAGGGTTATGCGTCAGGCCCAGCTGCGCTAATTTGGCTGTGAAATGTATGAAGGCCGCTACAGTGCGGGATGGGTCACCCAGGAAGGTGACGTCATCCGCATACGCCAAGCAAAGCACGTCGGGGTGTGCTTCTGCAGTGTCGCGGAGCGTGGGGTGTATCCCTGCTGCAAACAGTAGCGGGCCGAGTGGGTCCCCCTGCCGCACGCCCCGTTCACTGAGCAAGGGTTCGGAGTTGAATTTCGTGTCCAGGAGCAGTTGCGACAGGTTACCGTAGGTCAGTTTCATGAACGGCTGCAGTGGCGAGAGTTCGGGGTCGTGTAACGCTGTGGCTATGGCATGTCGCGAGATACTGTTGAAAGCGTTTGAAATGTCCGCTTGCAGGACTAGGCAGTTGGGGCGGGCATCCAAAAATGCTATGGCTGTGTGGATTACCATCTCTGCTCCACCTGGAACTGCCACGCCGTACTGAAGTGGCAGGAAATATTCTCGGGTAGCTTCCCCTATGGCTGTCAAGGCTGCCTTGGCTGTCAGCCTTGTCAAACACTCGCCTATCGCAATTGGCCGGGCCCCTCCCCCAGGTTTGGCCAGGGCTATCAGCCTCGACGCCGTCAGGAGGTTCGCGATTGGGCCTGGCAAATTTCCCCCCAGCAGGGTGTTGACCAAGGCGTGCAGTTGGGTGCTAATCATTGCGTTAGTGGTGGCCGCGTCGCGCATGTGCTCAAATGTTGTGCCAGAAGGTCCGGCCACCACCCCGTTCTCGCATCTTCCCAGAATCCTAGCAAACTCAGCATGGGTGATGGACAGTTTCGACTCGGGTGGCACATGCCAGGTCACCGCCTCGTGTACAGCAGGTGGGTGTTTCTGGCGAAGCTCCTCCAATATTTCCGGGCTGGGGGTGCAGACCGGCGTTGACTCCAGTGCCAGCACGGCTCGGCGTAGACTCCCCCGTTTCGCGAGCCCCTCAGCTCGGCTGATGACTCCGGTCACGTCAAGCTGGTGTCGTGGCGGTGGGGGTGTATTGACCGCGTCCACCGTGTCCAGGTACAGCTGTTCCCATTCGCCACGCTGGAAAGCTCGGAGCCGGGCCTTGACCCCCGGCCAGTCTGGTCGCTGTGGCGAGGTTCGGCGAAGTGTTAGGCAAGGGAGAAATAGCAGCAGGCGCCAGCCCGTTTCGGATTTGGGGTTTCGTGAGAGGTGGAGTAACGGTGTCAGAAGCGCATGCGAAAACAGCTGGCATAGATTTGGCGGTAAACGCCGTGACACCGGAGGCTGTCGACTGTCGCAGAGAGCTGCAATGTCCCAGCATGCGATGGCCGCGAACAAGTCCACACGCCTCGCCAGCTCGTCTGGCGAAAAGTAGCGGGGGTTCAGAATGGTTTGGTGCGTCGCGGTGTTGGCAGTGGCAGTTCGATTTCGTCGACCGCGGCTCGCCCGTGTTGGTGCGTCGGTGGTTTGATTGCCACCCGTTCGATCAGCGTCTGACGGTCGCTGATCCGCCTGCGGTATTCGCATGGTCGAGCGGCCCACCTCGTTTGCTCTTCTCCCTTCTGCCTCTCTCACCCTGCCTTCTCCCTCCGATTCCTCGTCCTCGCTTGGTGGGAGGGATTCTTCCCTATAAGATGGGTCCCTTAGATCTTCTTCTTCATTAGTTGCTGCTAACGCCGTTAAAGCCATTCTCGCCGCTGCTTGGTACCCGTTCTCCGGACCCCCGCCTGTCCCACTAGTAACCAGCATCCTGCCTCCGCGACCCCCCTGCTCCCCCGATGGTGATTGCCGGAGCTCCTGAGTCGTCGCCAGAGCTCGTTGCCGCCTGGTCGGCTGTCGTCGCCAAGCCTCCGTCGGGGCCCGAAAAGGTGACCATGGCAACGAAGCCCCCTCTACCGCCGGCTCCGAAGCCCGTGACAACAGTCGCTGGAAAGACTCCTCCCCTCGTACCCGCGGATCCCGTGAGCGGGACTGGCCCGGCTGCCCCTGTTGCTGCTCCGCCCGCTCCGGCTGATGCTCCTGTCCCCCTCGCTCCCTTGGTTGCGTCGGCGACGTCTGCTCCTGCTGGGGAGGTTGCTGATCCCCCTGCTCCTGCCTCTGGCGCACCCGTTGCGTTGGCCGCTTCTGTCCCCGACGTGCCTGCGCCGGTGTCTGCGTCGTCCCTGCAGGCGGCGTCCGCCACCACTAGCGGCCCAGCCTCGATGGTTGAGGCTCCGGTCGTGGACCCACCTGCTCCTGCCGCGCTGCCGGCGGCGCCGGTAGCGCAGCCGTCTCGTCCCCCGTCGCCAGACCGCCGCCTATCTCGCCCCCATTCTCCCGCGCCCCAGCAAGAGCGCGAGTCGTTGCGGCGCCGGCGCAACTCTCCCCGGCACTACCAGCGGCAGGCCCAATGGCCTGCTCACCCCGGTGGCAATGCGGGCTGGAGGGGTCCCCGCGGGCGTGGTGGTGGCGGGGGATACCGTCCGCCTGTGACAATGGCGGATCTTCAGCGGGAGGTGTCGAGGGCCGTGCGCGAGGAGAGGGCGGCGCAGAGCCAGAGCAGTTCACTGCGGGCCGCGCCAGCGCACGTGGCTCCTCGCCGAGCTGTGCCTCCCGTGGTCCCTCCACCGGCTGCTGTACTTCCTCCTTTTGTCCTTGCCCCATCGGCTCATGCTCCTGCTGCCCCGACTGCTGATCCTGGGTCTCGTCTTCGCCTGCCGCCCGTGCAGCCGGTGGCGGGTGTCGAGTTCGTTCCTGCTGGTGGAGGGGCGGCGGGGGCGCAGTACCCTCCATATCTTGCTCCCGATGAGCCGCTTCCATTCTTGGCGGTGGCACTTCAGCCACCGCAGACCCGTGTTCCTGAGGCGACACTCGGCCAGCTGCACCGTCTTGCAGAGAGCCTTCACGCGCTGCTGCTGATCCAGGTGCTGGCTCACTCTTCTCTCCCTGCGATCCCTGCTGATTCGTTTCATGACCGGCCACGCGAGACTTGCCTGGACGCGGCGGACCAGCTCGCGCAGCTGCTGGCGCCCGCGTTGGCTGCGCCCGTAGAGGGTGGCGCTGCTGCTGCGGGACAGCTTGACGAGGCTGTCCGGGGCTTGAGGCGGCACTTGCGCGCAGGATCTGGAGCCGCGGCGATCGGCGCAAGCATGCTTGTGGTCCGGGAGCTGTGGCGCTCCCTGACGGGCGTTCTTCACGCCCTTGGAGCTCACCGCATGTAGACGCGGGCTCCGTTTGCCCCATGCTTACTTTCCTTCAGCTAGATTGCCGTAGGACATGCCATGCGTGTAATGCTTTCTAATATAAGCAACTGTGTGTCGTATGACTTGCCGTCCCCTGGCGCGAGTGGAAAATTTCAGCCGCCAACTGAATAATGAGGAAAGGGAGGGTGAGATGGGCCCTTAAATATCTAGGCAACCGAGGGCAGAGGCTAAGGGCAGAGGGCAGAGGCTAAGGGCAGAGGGCAGAGGCTATGTCAGAATGTTATGTTTGTCTAGCCTGCAGTGGGGTACTCAATAGTGAGTACAGCCCAATCTAGGGTTTGCTATATGTACTCAACTGCTTGCTAGTGCAACCCCCTCCTTTCTCATTTCTAACTTCCTTTGGTTTCTATATCGCGCACCTCGGGCGCGCACTATCTTTCTTCCTGCCGCGCGCCCATGGCGCGCGGCCCTTTTTTCTTCCCGCCGCGCGCTAGGGGCGCGCGGCGGTTTGCTGCCCGTCGCGGCCCCTTCGTGGCCCCCGTCGCGGCCCCGTCGCGGCCCTGCTCCGGCCCTGCCCCGTCGCCTGCTGCCGCCCTGTCGCGGCCCCAGTCGCGGCCCCGCCCCGGCCCTGCTGCCGCACTGTCGCAGTCCCCCGTCGCGGCCCCCCTCGTCGCGGCCCCCCGTCGTGGCCCCCCGTCGCGGCCCCCCGCCGCGGCCCCCCCTCGTCGCGGCCCCCCGTCGCGCCCCCCCGTCGCGGCCCCCCGTCGCGGCCCCCCGTCGCGCCCCCCCCCCCCGTCGCGGCCCCCCCGTCGCGGCCCCCCCCGTCGCGGCCCCCCATCGCGGCCCTGTCGCGGCCCTGCCCCGGCCATGCCCCGACCCTGCCCCGGCCCTGCCCCCCTCATGCCTGTCGCGGCGCACCGGGGGCCCGCGCACCCCCCCCCCCCCCCCCCCCCCCCCCCCCCCCTTTTCCCGTCGCCTTTCGTGGCGACCTGGGGGGGGCCGCGCGTCGCCCCTTCTTCCGCCTGTTCTGGCGCCCTGGGAGGCCGCGCGTCGGCCCCCGTAATCCCCCCCCGTAACCTCCCTACCCGCCATCCCGCCCTGCCCTGTGTTAGGGTTTGGGGGTGGCGAGTAGGGGGTGGCGGGTGTGTGGACTCCCCTGCTCCTCCTCCTCCTCTGTCTCCCACTGCTGCAGCTGCCGCTGAGGGGGGTGGATGTGTGGGAGCCAAAGGAGTGGTGCTAGGGGGTGGGGTGTGAGTGAACCTAGGGTGCAGCAAGGGGTGTTTGAAAGGGGGGTGGGATAGTTTGGGGAGGTTGAAAGGGGGTGGCCGCCGTGAAGCCCGCAGCTCCAGTCGCCCGTGAGACCGTTGCGCCAGTCGCCCGTGAGCCCGTTGCGCCAGTCGCCCGTGAGCCAGTTGCGCCAGTCGCCCGTGAGTCCGTTGCTCCTGCCGCTCAGAGTTAGCCGCGGAGCCAGTTACTCCAGTAGCCCGTGTGCCAGTTGCTCCAGTTGCCAGTGTGCCAGTTGCTCCAGTTGCCCGTGTGCCAGTTGCTCCAGTTGCGCCGTGTGCCAGCAGCTTCAGCTGCCGCCCACTACCTCCTCTCCTCTCATAGTCCCTCTTCCTCCACACTTGCCCTCTGCGATAGCCTCTAGCTTTGCTTACATTTGTGATGTGTGGGAGCCAAAGGAGTGGTGCTAGGGGGTGGGGTGTGAGTGAACCTAGGGTGCAGCAAGGGGTGTTTGAAAGGGGGGTGGGATAGTTTGTGGAGGTTGAAGGGGGGTGGCCGCCGTGAAGCCCGCAGCTCCAGTCGCCCGTGAGACCGTTGCGCCAGTCGCCCGTGAGCCCGTTGCGCCAGTCGCCCGTGAGCCAGTTGCGCCAGTCGCCTGTGAGTCCGTTGCTCCTGCCGCTCAGAGTTAGCCGCGGAGCCAGTTACTCCAGTAGCCCGTGTGCCTGTTGCTCCAGTTGCCAGTGTGCCAGTTGCTCCAGTTGCCCGTGTGCCAGTTGCTCCAGTTGCGCCGTGTGCCAGCAGCTTCAACTGCCGCCCACTACCTCCTCTCCTCTCATAGTCCCTCCTCCTCCACACTTGCCCTCTGCGATAGCCTCTAGCTTTGCTTACATTTGTGAACTTTAAACTGTTGCTTCTTGTACTTGTGCTCAGAATGTGTGGTGACTTTGTGATCCACCCTGAGCTTGTTTTGCTTTGCTTGCTGTGCTGATTACACCCCACTTTGGCTATGGGGGTGTGTCAGACTGTTATGTTTGTCTAGCCTGCAGTGGGGTACTCAATAGTGAGTACAGCCCAATCTAGGGTTTGCTATATGTACTCAACTGCTTGCTAGTGCAACCCCCTCCTTTCTCATTTCTAACTTCCTTTGGTTTCTAACAGGCTATTCCTCTCTCTCTCTCTCTCTCGCTCTCTCTCTCTCTCTCTCTGTCTCTCTCTCTCTCTCTTTCTCTCTCTCTCTCTCTCTCTCTCTCTCTCTCTCTCTCTCTCTCTCTCTCTTGCTATGCACCTCCTCTTGATTTTTTAGAGGCAATTTTGCCCAAATCAGTGGCCCTTTGAGAAGGAGTTCTTTATTAATCAACCAACACACATAGCAATGCTTTCCTAGCATGCATCACGCCACCGAGTGGCCAACTACATGGGACCGAGGGGGTTGTTGTTCCCCTTCCCTATCCTAGGCCCAAAGCCTATTCCTACCCTTCACTAGGGCTGGCCTCTTAGGGTTGCCCACGGTTTTCGCACTCAAGGGTGCACCGTGCCTAGCGCGCAAGCGCCTAGTCCCATGGCCCGCTCCTACACCACCGGAGCGGGTCCTTGGCCGCCATGCCCGTTCCTACGGCAGGCACTTGCCACGTGGCCCGGCTGGCCGCAGCGGAAGCACGAGCCCCGAAACCCACGGCAATTGGCCGTGGGCGGGGGGCCCCGCTTGGGTAAGAACGGCATCGGTGCGTTGTTTCCGCCGCGGTTGACACGAGCGTATCCGCTTGCCGCCCGGTCCATCGCCGCCATGTCTGCGACCGCCTGCTTGAAGGGTCGAGAAGTCAGCAGGCTCTTCTGCTGGTACAACTTGAAGCGCTTCGCCGTGCGGAAGTCGGAGGCGTCCTCCACTTGAAGCACCTCGAAACGCCCCGAGATGAGGTTGAGAGCGTGCGAGATGAGTTCGAGTCCGCCCGCCGGGTCCCCGCGCTGCGCCTTGTATTCCGCGTGCAGCAGGTACGCGCGCAAGTCCTCCAGTAGCTCCGCTTGCTCTCGCACGGAGTCGTTGACGAATGTCGCCGCCGAAAATGCGAGGTTAGAAGAAGGGAGGAGGGGAAGGTGTCAGAACATTATAGCTTATACATTTGTGTAGGCTGTACTGGGGTAGCCCATATGGGGAACAACCCAATTAGGGTTAGTACTTGTACCCAACTGATTGCTAGTTCATTCATTCTCGTTCGTTATTTTCACATGGAATCAGAGGAGGTTACTTGGGCCCACCACCTGCTACGCTGCGAGTACCCCCCTAGGCCTGTCGCTCCTAGCCTTCGCGACTCGTCGGCCCCTAGCCCCGCGCCCGGCCCCGTTCCTAGCCCCCCGCCCGGCCCGTACCTAGCCCGCAACCGGCCCGTACCTAGCCCGCGACCGGCCCGTACCTAGCCCGCGCCCGGCCCCGTCTCTCGCCCGCGCCCGGCCCGTACCTAGCCCGCGATCGGCCCGTACCTAGCCCGCGATCGGCCCGTTCCTAGCCCCGCGCCCGACCCGTCTCTCGCCCGTGCCCGGCCCGTTCCTAGCCCCGCGCCCGGCTTGTCTCTCACCCGCGCCCGGCCCGTACCTAGCCCGCGACCGGCCCGTACCTAGCCCAACGCCCGGCCCGTACCTAGCCCGCGCCCAGCCCCGTCTCACGCCCGCGCCCGGCCCGTACCTAGCCCGCGATCGGCCCGTACCTAGCCCGCGAACCGCCCGTATCTCGCCCCGCGCCCGGCCCGTCTCTCGCCCCCGCCCGGCCCGTACCTAGCCCGCGACCGGACCGTACCTAGCCCAACGCCCGGCCCGTACCTAGCCCGCGCCGGGCCCCGTCTCACGCCCGCGCCCGGCCCTTACCTAGCCCGCGATCGGCCCGAACCTAGCCGGTGACCCACCCATACCTAGCCCCGCCCGGCCAAGTACCTAGCCCAGCGCCCTGCCCCTCACCCAACGCCCGGCCCCGTTCCTCGCCCAGCGCTCGGCCCCGTACCTAGCCCGCGCCCGGCCCGGTCCCTAGCCCCGCCCGGCCCCGTACCTAGCCCAGCGCCCGGCCCCGACCCTAACCAGCGCCCGGCCCCGCCCCTCGCCCAGCGCCCGGCCCCATACCTAGCCTGCGCTCGGCCCGGTCCCTAGCCCAGCCCGGCCCCGTACCTAGCCCATGCCCGGCCCCGTACCTAGCCCAGCGCCCGGCCCCGTACCTAGCCCAACGCCCGGCCCGGTACCTAGATACTGCTACATCTACTGCTACGGCCCGGTACTGACACTGCTGCTACTGCTACAGCTGCTACTGCTGCTACTGCTACTGCTGCTACTGCTGCTACTACTGCTATCCTGCGTGCTGCACAGGTATGGATTCGCTTCGGGTTCTCGCGTTTGATCATGAGGGCAGACCAGTTCAGTTTGACACGTGGCTAGACGACCTGCAGCTGTATCTACTAAGCGATTCTAAGGACAGTGTCTCGCTGTTTGACCTAGCGTCAGGCACTGCTACTGCCCCTCCCGCCACAGCTGACAGTTCGACCCGCTCACAGTGGCTTACTCGTGACGCTGCTGCCCACTTAGCCATTCGCAACCACTTGCCATTAGCTGAATGCGCTCACTTCGGACAGCACAAGACAGCACAGGCACTGTACGACACTGTAGTCGTCCGCTACTCCTCCCCTGCCACTGCTGCTGTAGGCCGCCTGCTTCTACCCTACCTGTTCCCCGAGCTGTCCTCCTTTGCCACAGTCGAGGACCTGGTTTCCCACCTTCGCGCTAGTGACGCTCGCTACCGCGCTGCCGTTCCTGCTGAG